ACAGTCAAGGCTTCTCTATTTGTTAAATACCATGTGACCTTATAATTTGAAAGTGTATAAAAATTACTTTTGTTTTAAAACTTCGTAGATTTTTCGTCGTCGGATAGTGAGGACGAAAAAGAAAAAAATAAGATCTACTGGCAGGCTGCCATATTTAAAGTCGGCGATGACGTCAGACAGGTAACGTGCGTCTTTTAGATTGTCTCCCAGCAATCTTACATTTCGGTTTGTGTTATGTTTCCTATTCCCGTGTTATCTGACACAACTTGTAGAGTTTGTTGTCAAACGTGCTGTCTTTTTTCTTTAGGACATGCTGGCACTGCAGGTGATATCACTTTTTAAAAACATCTTCGAGCAAGTTGGATTAGACGTCTATCTAAAGCCTTACAGAGTCGTGGCCACTGCCCCTGGGGTAAAAAAATTCTTGAACTTAAAGATCTTTTACCTTGGAGAACTCTCTCCCGTAAACCGAATCCCCGACCATTGTTACGTTCATTGCCTCAGACGAAAAGTAATTAGCTCTCTATCTTACGACCAAACGATGAGAATTCATTTCAACATTTGCTTATAATAGTTTTGATCATTTTCTGTCTCAGAATGGTGTTATTGAATGTGTACCAGACTCCAAGTCACGTGACCAACTTGGCCGTCAAACCGAGGTGGACTTGTACGAGTATTATCAGAAGACGTATGGTGATGAAAGCACGTCAGCTTTTCAACAGGTCTGGATATCTAACTTCTTTTGTTTATTATTATTTGGTTCATTATTATTTGGTTCATTATTAGTTCATTATTTGGCAGCCATTTTATTTTCTCCATTTTTAACCCCTACTTTGTTCTTGGCTAATACGACTCTAAGTGACTTAGGAATATCTTTTTCTATATAGATTGTTAGTTTATTTCGGTGGCTTGTTAGAGTATGTCGTTGAAAAGTTCGGGAAACACGATTATTCTGAACGGGAAAGAAATTTAATGTTGTGATACATGTTGAATGATGTTGTTGTCCTAATAGATATGATGTAGCTATCAGAAAGATTTTCTCATGGCTAGTCCTCGACTGTTCGCCACAATCTTGAAAAGTCTTGAAGGCATGCCGAAAAATTAAGTTGTTCCTCGTTGATTTTTCGAAGGCCTTCGTTTAACGGTCGAGAATTCTCGCTGTTATTCATAAATTTGAGGGTTAAAGGTTGTGTTTAAAGTTTGAGGTATTTTTGCCTTACTTTGCGTTTCTCTTTGTTGGTTTGTCTTCAGGAAGGTATTTTTATTTGTTGTACCTTTCTTGATTTAAACCCCATTTTTTTGTTTTTAGGCTCGAGCCAATTTCATCAAAAGTATGGCAGCATACTCCATTGTGAGTTTCCTGCTGCAGATCAAAGACAGACATAACGGTAACCTAATGCTGAACAGAGCTGGTCATATCATTCATATAGGTAAGCTACAGAAGCCCACCTTGTTCTCAGACTACTCTTATGTTTTGTGCCACGAAATAGAAAGCGGACTGGCATCTCGCAAAAGATGTCGTACCTTTTTAAATCTGTCGTTTGAATTCTGGGGTAATCTTCTTTATCCCCCACTATCTCCTTCCTCTTTGTGCTTCTTATGTTTATTTTAATTCCTTTATTTCACAAGTCTGGTTTTTGTAACCCAAACAGATTTTGGTTTTATGTTTGAGTCGTCCCCCGGAGGCAACCTTGGTTTTGAGCCTGATATGAAACTGTCACATGAAATGGTGATGATCATGGGAGGAACAATGGAGTCCCCCTCATTTAGGTAAAGTAACGTAACGTAACGTAACACAGGCAGTAAGCCTATGCTACTTCTTTGTCTCAATTTAGGGTAACCTTTCGGTATCAAAGGAATATCTAGCCCTTGCTAGTTATCTGATGATTATACTTTTATCAACTGCTAAGGTTAATTTACTTGCACACACAAAATTTGCGGCCCTCGTTAACGAGTCAATACTTTGACTGTCTCGATTTATGGTATCAAAGGAATATCCAGCCTTTGCTTATTATGTTATGATTATCCTTTTAGGAAGCAAACTACCATAGCAACAGTGTGGTCTGACAGGAAAAACCCTTAAAGTTTTGGTTAAAATGCCCATACCTACGTAAATTAGATATTCCTCGTTGAATTAAGTAAAGATCAATGTTTTGAACAGTTTGGAAACAATCTAGAAACGTGGTTCTTATCCACCTCGATCAAAATTAAAGCTGGCTCGTAACGCTCCTCTTTTAGGACTGGTCGACTCACTGTTAGGTCTCACCACTGAGATACGGTGGTTCCTTGGTTCACTGGTCTTCTAAGTTGCGAACGTTTTCTCTGCGCTCTTTCCTAACGTGAAATATCTTCACATCGCAGTTATACGACATCAGAATCCAACTATGACAGTTTTTACTCCTCACACAGAAGGCCTCTCACATGTGAACCTCGACAAATCCCAGCTCACCAACGATTTCACGGGAAATAAATTTACGTACGACTTACCGCAAAGTCATAACTGGCTAACGCTTCAACCCTCGTGGAGCATTCTGGACAACTTTGCGCAATTTTACCTGTATCTCTGATCAAATTTTGATATGATTCATTTTTCAGATGGTTCATGGATTTGTGTGTGAAGGCCTATCTTTCAGTGAGGTGAGATAAAGTGGCATAGAAAAACGCTTCACACTTTTTTTTTTCTTTGCATCTGGCTTTACGTAGCTTTGGTTTTTGTTTTGTGATTTATTTTATTCAACATTGACTATCCTCTTCCCTCCTGTCAGGCCTTACCAGGAAGCAATCGTATCTCTTGTTGCACTGATGTTGGACACTGGTTTGCCATGTTTCCGGGGGGAAACACTCAAAAGACTCAGGTGATTAATGATGAAAGGGTAGTCTTTTTAGTTCACCGCTTTTATTGATGTTTAAGAGATATTTATATGTATTTTTGTTATTTTGGAACTTTTGCACTATGACAAACTGCGAGTTACTCTGTAGTCCTATGTTCATTGCGTTGGATTTAACTTTACGATAAACGGTTTGTCAGACGTTTTCATTTGTCCTTGTTTTGTGCTTATAACAGAGCAAGATTCAGCCCGGCACAGAGCGAGAGAGAAGCCGCCGCATACATGGTGAAAGTTATTCGTGACTCTTATCTAAACTACAGGTGAGAAGAGTGGTGAGCTGTGATCTCGCCTTACTCGTCAGACCTTTTTTTTAACTCTCAAAATGCATTTATCCACCAAGGAGCGGAAAGGGTTCCGGCAAACTGTTAGGTAAACCTATTAAAATGATGAAAAGTTACCTACAGGAGACTGGCATAACATTGGGGGGGGGGGTTAATTCTTCGAGCTTTGTGACATTCACCTTCTCCATCTGGTGGCATTTTGTACTCCTAATCATGAGAAATCCTTTAAAAAGGAAAAGTATTCATGCCATGCTATTTCTCCCAAAAAGTTTGCTGCTTTTTGTTCACTATTTGGACTAGTTACTCTTCAACTCCAGGGTCTACTTCTTCACATAAAAATACCGGTCGCCATTTCACAAGAGGATTTATTTTTGGTTTTCACTTTTTGAGAGCGTCTGAAATTGTGATCTATTTTTCCTTTGCAGGACCCGAGTTTACGATTTGATTCAGTTGGCCCAAAATCAAATTCCATGCTAGACTCATCATTGGCAACAAGATTATAAATTAAGATGTAATGCTAACAAGGACAGGTCTGGTCTCCTGTTTCTAGTCTTAGGGTTAGTGTAAGGGTCAGTGTAAGGGTCAGTTTTGTCAGTTTCTTCGGATGAGACTGGTCTCCAGTTTTCATTCCCCACTGAAATTTGAATTTAATTTCATGTAAATAGCCTTGTAGTGCCCAGTACAACAAGGGATAACTTACTGAGATACCGAGATCACATTACAAGAATTGCAATTTCTCCTTATAATTTTATTATTTAGTGACGGGGAAAACCAATTTTGTCAGCTGAAGAATGCTTTTATGATAGAGCTCTAAATTCTCCCAATAACTTTAAAATTAATATGCAGGGGAAAAGAGAACTTATTCCTTGGTCTCCGAACTGAAAAGGTTTAAAATAGTGGCTAATAGGTTTCTTTATTTAGGGAAATGGTTGAAAGGTCAAACTTTTGTACAAAATTTAATTTAAATTACGAAGAATATTTTGTTGAATATATCGTAGAATTATCCACAATACTGTAATATAGTAAATAAAAATGAAATGGGTCATTTGTTCTTTGTGTGGAACATGCCACTATACCAGAATAGTATTACGGTAAACTCCTGAACCAATATAAAGGCTAGCTCCTGAACCAATATCAAGGCTAGCTCCTGAACCAATATCAAGGCTAACGCACAAAAGGAGCACGATAAATCAAACGCCGAATCGTTTCTTGAAAACTTAAGGTAGGAGTGATAATAAGTCGGTGCAAGAGAGATTGTAAGTTAATGGCTTATAATAGGTGTCGCAACTTTTGTCTTACACTCAATTACACTGAGGCCAGAATAACGTACAATTTTCTTCAAGTTTATTGAATCATTTTTTTTTCCATAAAAGCGCTAGTTTGCCTTGATCATTTACAAATATAATCGCGCTTTTCCTACAAGCTACTCATGAACAGATTTTATTCAACTGTTCAGCGACATTTGTTTCAAATATTTGGATCCAAATGTACGAGAAATAAAAAGAGACAAATTCATGCTCTAAAATTATTAGTCTTGATAACATTAACATTTGAAAATACACTTATCGTTTGCTAGAAAATTTTAACATTTGAAATTCTTTGCAGATATCCAAGCAAAATTGAAATAAAACATTACAATGATAAAGCATGCTTTACAATAAAAATAGCGTTCTAAACAATATTTACTTTTACTGTGAAAATTCCACATTACAAGATTTAATCTTATTAAAAAATGTTATTCCATATCCTTGGAAATTCTATTATTTATAACAAAAAAAACTATTGAAAATCTCTAAAAAATATTGTTAATGAAGAAAATTTGAATTGTTGCTTACTTTCGATTGAACGACGCTGAGCAATTCGCGCATAAATTTTCATCCTGGTTAGTCTCTTGCCCACAACCTTTGCATACACCGGAAGTATAAGCATTAACAACAGGCTTGGTGTCACCGTTCGCACTTTCTTCCGCTTCCGGTGCACTTTCAACCGGCTTGAATTGGTGATTCTGTAAGTCGACCGGAAACTGAGGGAACGGAAGTCCGACGCCGTTAGCCGAAGGGAACATATATGACGTAAGAGGCATCAAAGATGGCGGCATAAGATAACGATATTGTCCATTTACGTAGTTAAATTTGAACAGCGGCGGAAGGGAAGCCGAGGACGGGGGAGGAACGTGAGAAGCCTGGGGAGGAGGTGGAGGAGCTTGGGGATTGGCGTCATTCGGAGGTTGAGCCTGCAGTATATTCGACTGACCGAGAAGACCGTTTGTATGTGATCTGCTTGCGTTGTACTGCACGATTACTTCAATGGCTTGAAGAACATTTCCATTACAGCCTTTTAACACGTGTTCAAGCACCGTGGACGATAAACCAGGAAATGCCCTTGTCAGGATATCCGTCGGCGGTGGAATAACCGTAGGAAGTGTCAAGGGGGACTCCGCATGAGGTCTTTTAGAGGCCGAGGCCATACCACCGCCATAATCGCTGTCGGAACTCTCTGGGCTGTTACTACTACTGGGATCTCGTCCGCCGCTGTGTTTTCGTTTCAACAATCCTAGATGGCGTGAGAAAACACGTTGGGTGAATCTCCAGAACAACTTATCAGTCTAATTAGTTAAACGGCTGTGAATGTATGAAAGTCATCAATTTGAACTGCGATAAAGACGCGACTATGGAAGCGATCTTCGCAGTAATGAACACTACTTAAGCAGTTGTACGGAACCCGAACTCATGACCCCTGCGATACCGGTGCAGTGCTCCACCAACTGAACTAACAAACCAACTGGGAGCTGGTCACTGTGTTGGTTCCAAATAAACCCGTGAAGAGGTGAATAAACGGCTGTGAATATATGAAAGTCGTATATTTGAACTGCGGATAAAGACGTGAATACGGAAGCGATCTTCGCAGTAATGAACACTACTAAAGCAGAAGTGAAAAGAAGGCCTGAAAAAAATTCAGTTGGACTGAAAAAATTGAGTTGGTTTGTTAGCTCAGTTGGTGGAGCACTGCACCGGTATCGCAGGGGTCATGGGTTCGGGTCCCATACAGGCCTGAATTTTTTTCAGGCCTTCTTTTTGCTACTGCTTAAGTAGTGTTCATTACTAAGAAGATCGCTTCCATATTTGCCTGAATAGTTAAGGTTGAACGCAGAACAGCCAAACTTGTCAAGCTCACGCAAATTTCCAAGTGTCAAGCAAAGAATCCTAAACCGAGAGCCATGCTTATTTTCCCATTACAGTTAATACTGCTTCCTGAAGTTCGGAGCTATGAAGCGCACTTCGACCTTATCAGTATGGTGCATGCACACGCTGATATGAAATTTGAAATATAAGACAGGAGCATTTACCTTAAATTTACCCCTGTTGCTCCTTAACACATTTTCGTGAAACTTTCGAATTACGAAAAAAACTTCATTCTTTTTCTGATGAACAGTTTCAACTTTTGAATTCGACAATTTTCGATTTGCTCAGACAATCGGCGTGATGATTTCCGATATCAAAATTCTGACGGTTTCATGATTCGAAACCTTTAAAACTTTGAATCAAACAAACGGCGATGCATATTTCTGCGCCCCCAAATAAAGTGAAAGCACATTTTTTACAAGCGAATTATTGTTTCAATGAGAAGAACGTAACCAAGAATAAAATCTGACTTCTGGTTTAACCAGGACGCGTTCAAGAGACACGATTTTACAAGAATTTTGTGTCATCGACTATGATGACTATGTAAATTGGCCACCATATATAGCTTCAACAGGCAACGTTTCGAGCGTTAGCCAATCGTCAGAAAATAAAAGGACTTCTCTGCTCTCTCTTAATTTGTTTCTAAGTTCATTCGGAAGCATTTGCTATTGCTGTGGACTAATTTACAGCAATCTATACGAAAAAAAGACCGCCATTGTCTGATCAAATTTTCTGTAAGCCTTAAAGGAGCAATCTCTCCTTTCACGAAAAATCTTGCTTCGTGTAGTTTATTAGCTCATACAGTAACTGCGAACAACGTATGATCGAGAACCTTAACTTGCATATCTAAAAAAAGCCTTAAGAACTTTATTATAAAAGTCCAATAAACCATGCGATCTTTCGAAATATCTGGAAAAGTTCGAGAGAAAACTTTCCTCAAACAGCAATACTGAAACGACCATCGTTCCATCTGTTTGTCTTTCTGTTTTAAAATAATTGTAAGTAGTGCGAGTCCTAGTTTTTATCACGTCCCGTTCTTCACATAGGAAGGATAGGAAAAAAATTGTTCTTAGGGTTTTGTTCGTAAATTCTCACTCGCCAACTTATTTCTTGTTGGTGTATTTCAGTTCTTGTTAAATAACTCAAAGAAGTAAAAATCAACTAACGCAAATTGTAATTGTGCAAAAGCTCACCCGACATGGGATTTCTGTGATGAACTCTGTACCACATGGTTTCCAACATTTGACGGGGATGGATTCTCAGGATAAATGAGCGCATAAAAAAGTTTGACGCTTCAAAGTTGATCAAAAGTTTTCCTGTGGAAAGTTTCTCACGGCTTCGGCAAGCGAAGAGTACAGAGATTCATTAATAAAATTTTAATCTAGAGAACCGGAACACCTTGAATGCTTTCAATAACGATTAATTGCCATAGGAACTTAAGGAATGCGGGGGTGTTGTCTATCACTTGTGATTTACGCTACAGCACGATAAAGGGATTTTGAAACAATAGCTACTGATTGTAAAGATGAACAAATCAAGGGATTAAAAAGCTTTCCGGTGAGCCGTTTTCATATGTCGTTGACCATGCGCTCGCTTGTATACCTCCTCGATATCAACGTTTTCACTTTTCATTCTCTGAGTTAAAAAGCATCGTCATATTTCCGGTTAAAAAAATTATATGAACGCAACGAAGCGTGCCTTCAATTAGAGGCCAGTCGCATGTATTGTTATAAAATTTGGTTGTCTTCATCGCGTTTCTGGCTTACAGCTGCGAACAGTAGACTCCTTTTTTTGAAATGAATACTGTTCCTTTCAATAGCTAATTAAAGTTAAAGGCGGTACTGAACACTAAAAGAAGGCAAAAGAAATAATTATATTTGAAAAGAAGAACGCAACTTGTATATTGAAAGACAAATTGGACTCTGCAGACACTCTTTGAAGACACTACCATGTAGATGAACTGAAAAACAATTGTCTTTCAATATTTAAAATAACATTCTTGTTCAGCTTCTCTGCAAAATACTTTACCCAAATTTGAAAGCTGCATTATTAATTTAACTTTTTACCCAGCGAAATGATTTCTTTTAAAAGCCGCATTGCAGAAAGCGGAAGAAATTAAGAGTGGATCGGGAATGAAAAATGCCGACGTAAGTATTAAAAGTGCATTGTTTTGAATTTCGCGCGAACAGCGGTAAGAATTGAAAGAACAGAGAGGCAATTGTGCCATTTGTAAAACAGTTTACTTAGCGGACATCAAAGCTCAAAGAGATCTATCCGTCGAATTTTAAAACCTCGATATCGTAAACTTAACTAACATCTTGATGAGATTTCGCGCGTTTCACGGTCTTAGTTGATTGCATAACGTTATTTCCTGCTCGACTACGAATACCTTCCGCACTGTACGCGAGTTAGGGTCTGTAGTACTTTTTTCAAAAATGCATTATTATTAACTTCAAGTACGTCGGTACAATCATAAGAAGTTTAACCGAAATCTTGTTTTCCTGGGTCGATTTCCGAGAGATTTTTCCTATGCTGTCCAGAACGTTTTTCAGTTAACGAACGCTACAAAAGGTCAATAATGAGTTAAAAATGGCGTCTGACTTGGACGATTATTATAGATAACAGACATTAGATTCCAAGATTACAAAAATTCTTCTTTGGTCAAATTTGACGATTAAACGACTGTTCCTGAAAATGGAATTTTCTTCTTGATCAGAAAGATCTGCAGAATATTCAAAGCTTGAATGTTCCTCTTTAGTTTGTAATTGAATTCAAGGAACCATTCGATGGCAAAAATTTTATGGCAGTTTTAGCCAGTAATTCTTGAGTTCTCTTTATATATAACGTACTCAAAGATAAATCTCATTAGCCCCGTCATTTTGACGGGCACATGGCGGAAATTTGCGGTTTGTAAACGATCAAAATGGCGACTTCCTTTAGAAAACACACGTTTTTCGAACGCTATGATATTCGATTCCTTCAGAAACAACAAACTTTTTACTCATTTCACTTAGTATAAATTTATTTTTTTTAGGCAGAAGTGTCAGATAAGGGGCAGTGTGCAACAATTCTGCAATCCGAAGAATAATCATTTTTAAATGAACCTGACTTGTCAAACAAAATTGTACGGCAAGAAGCACTGTAAATGTTTTCTGTTTTCAACACGTGCTCTAAAGAAATTATTATTGATACTTTCAGGATTGGGAAACATCGTTAGAATCATTCTCTGTCGAATTGACGAAAGGAACGCAGAATTGTGTTGGTTGCATAAACAAATACATATCGTAGAATCATTGATGCTGATGCTATCGAACTACGTAACAGCTTCTGGAACAAGCATGGAAGAGGTATAAAAGATTCCTCTTCGAGTAGGTTGCATTTAAACCAACTCTTTATAAATATGAATGTTAAGCATATAGTAGTAGTTCTTAAAACTTACCGTCTCGATGCTCATGTTCTCCGTTCATCCATCCATTTAATAAACCAGCTTCCATTTGTTCTAATTCTGGCGAGTTAACGATCATGTCTGCTTCGTTTCCCTTTTGCTGACGAAAAAGCGCAATCCTGGCAGCCGTTAAACGCTGCCGTTCAGCTACAGTTCGACAGTCCATACAAGAGCAGTCTTTGAAGCGACACTGGTGTTTATGTCCGCGAAGATCTGACAAAATGCCATGATTTCTACACCGCGTACATTTAGGATTGCGATTTGACGTGTTCTGAAGTTTCAAATCTGCAGGGCTGTCTTGGCCTTCATCTTTTATCTCGTGTTGGTGCATTTTTAGGCTGTGTCGTCTTCCAAGGACGCTACAAGCACGAACAAGCGCGCTAGTTTTAAGACAACTAACATTAAAATCCATGATCTCACGTGGGCTGAATTTTTCCAATACCCAGAGGAGTTGTCTACGTGACATTCTGGCAAGTTTGTATTGTTCAAAGGTCTTCGCACCTCAGCGCTGCATAATTGTTTGAAAAGGAAACAAAAACTGCAACGAGAACAGGGTGAATGATATATTTACATCCAACCTTTCTGTGTATAACGCTTAAAGAGTCAAATCAAATAAAACACGAAACAGAGCATCAATCAAAAGGTAATGATCCTGTTCCTTGCTTTGGCGAAAATATATTGAAGGAATTTGGCATTATCACTTCATTTTAATAAGTTACTTTGAACCTTTATTAATTCAAATGAAAATTGAATAACACAGCTAACCGTTCAACGAGATCATTTTCGTTAAAGAAACTTGAAAAATTTCCCTGTATTTACTGTCTTTCCTTGGTGGTCAAAAGCGTGTCGTTTATAATAATTGAAAACAGTACACTTAAGAAATGTGTTTTAGACGAAGGATCGCACTTTTTTCATTAGTCTGCCTACTCAGTGACCCCTTTTACAAACCACGAGAGATCATTAAAAAAAGGGAATGGGTAATTGTGAGAAAAAATTCATCGGCGACGTTTGTCTCGCGATTCACAGAGTTTTTTGTAGTGTACTCAACAATCCGAGTAGATATATTAGTGAGTCATTTTAACTGTTACGAAATATGATCTCTTCCCATACCTTTTCACTAGCATTTTCTACAATTTGCAAATAAAAGACATGTGGCCTGGAGCATATATTACAAATCATGTGGGTCATACAGTTCATCGGCAGCGATTCAATCGCGACTACCTACATCTTAGACCACATGTAATTTTTAAAAGCATATTTAAATTTAGCCACAGGGAACAATTTTTGATGTTCAGATTGCCTCATCTAAACACGAGTGGTTTGGGACAGTTCGAAACAATTTTCAGATTCCGAGAAGACGGAAATTTGTTTACATTGTAAAAGTTCTTTATGGCTTTGATAAACTATCTCTAAAAAATGTGCGCGAAACTAAAACGTCACAACCGTGTTAACAACTATTGAGAGAGTTAAGCCTCAAACTCCCAAGATTTCGTCGGAAATTCTAGCTCTTACTGCCTACCTCACAATTTATTTGATGTTATTTTGGAATTGGATCAACCAATAATCCCCTAATTAATATTTTTCTTTATTCTCGTTACTTGTCTGCTTGATATTGTACTTATAATGTAAGGAGAAATTCTGTCTTGGTCACTAGTAGGACGTAAAGGGTTTATATCTTATTTTTATATCTGCATGATTCAAGTTTGCCCCACTTGAAGCCTTGTATCCGATGAAGCTAGGTCAATATAGGACTACAGTCGAATCCCCATAACTCGAATCTTCAAAGGATATTGAAAAAGGTTAGAGTTATTTGGGGTGAAAACAAAGGAATTGAACGGAAATAGGGGAAAACGGTGTTTACTGTTTGGTTTTTTTTTCTATTAATACAATATACTTATTAATCAAATCTAATTATAGAGAAGTCGAGCGAAAACGTTAAATTGTTGCTGAAATCACAACTTAACGTAAATTTCTCGGACTGCAGTTTCATTAAAAATCCCTCAAAATGACCCCTTTTTTTTCTTCAAACTCTTCGTTGCTTAACGCACCACGTTCCTTAAGATCGTGCAACTCTCTGACAAGTTGCAAAATCTTTGCGCGTGCTTCTTGTGTAGCCTGCAATACAAGAAACAGATATTAGGTACGATGATGTAATCGTAAGATAAAAATCACTATTGCAACTTGTATTAAATCGTTTCAATTTTTTTTTCAACGTATCTACTTTTTTGCCGTTTCCTTTAAAGCCTAGTACCCATCATGTCCGAAGCCGAGATCGAGACGTCCGGGTACGCATGGAATGATGGGGTATATTAGTCTTGTTTGCACTAAGCGCTATCCTTCTTAAGGCAGCCAGCTCGCTTACGAGTAACGTGGTCATGGTCAGTAAGAAAGTACAGCAGCAAAATAGGTAGTTGTAAAGATTTCAAGTCAGTATTTTTTCATCACTTAATGGAGAAAATACAGTCTGAAGTACTATTATTCTCGGTTACAGACGTCACTGTGATTCTCAAAGCCAGATACCCTATTCACACCAGAAAAAACATGTTAAGCTAAACCGGATTTAACTGAATGGAAATCAGTAACAGAGAGATGAAAAACTTAATTTTTCATCGGTTTCAAGTGGCCACTAACTTGTTATAAACAATGTCCAAAAATTTCAGCGGCGGTCAAAAAAATCGGTTTTAACAGCTTTTTAATGAAGAAAACAAAGCTTAGCCATGTTAAAGCACCTTTAAACATGTTTAAGATTTGGTTTGAGTTGGGCCTTAGTCGAGAAGAGTGATTTTTTAAGGCAAGCTGGTGAAAATAATGGATAAAAATACAGCGCTCTATTTTATGTTAATAGAGGAACATGATTTCATCGTCTTTTAGTATTCACACAAGATGACTAAATGAACTTGTGGTAGGTTTCTATATTGCAGACTGTTAAAGCATCAAAATAAAGAAATCTGTCGGGTTTTTACCCAATCACCTCGGTCCTCTAGCAAACATGCATATTGTACATTTACCCATTTCTGCTTTTTTTTGAAATTCAAAGAATTTTCTAGGCAGAAACACAATACTGGGCTACTTGAAAGTTTTAATATAACTAAATGAAGAACACTTACCGAGATGTTGTATGAATTTCCTGTGTGTTAATTTTTGCCGTCATTTTAAAATGATGTTTAGCGTGAAATCAAACCAATCTCGGCTTTCAAACGGTTTTCTTTTGATTTTTAGCGATTTTATTCTCAGCTTTATTATCTGCTTCGTCAAAAAATTTCTTCTCTTGGTTGTTTTACATCATTTGGACTCATAAAAGAATACATGTAAACTGGAAACATTGACAACAAAACAAACAGCTCTGCATGTAGACAGCTCATTCGACATAAATGATTGGTCATAGAGATATCACTGTCCTCGTTCAAATACAAAATTCCATCAATGACTATTAAACCATAAAGTAAAAACAACGAGACAGCAGTGTCCGAGAGTAAGAAAGAGTAACGTTTTATATATTCTTTCATGGTGTTCTTGGCACGATCCTTCTTTGCTGCTCTTTTACAAGAACGGAAAACACGATACCACGATCCGAAGAAGATAACTGTTGAAGGAGCGTAAAACATTGTCATTTCACTCTTTAAAATAGCCAGTTCGTCGTCTGTTTTGGCGAGATGTGGACTAAAACAGTTCCCAGTTTGACAGAGTTCAAATTTACGCCCATAGTACACCAACAATATAGACGAAACTAAAACAAAAATTGCAACGTTCGTTTTAGACTTGAGGCGTTGTTCCATAGTTCTTCCCAATGATGTCGATAAAACCAGCGTGGCTAGTAAGTAATTCGAAAAGAAAGACAAACTGTTCGCTAAAACAATCCAAAAATGTTGCCGTGAGAACTCAACTGCCGCATGTGCCATGATATTCCACGTGTTCAGAGACAACTGCACTAAAAGAATTCTGTTCAGCCTGTGAGGCGTCGACCACGAAAAATAAACCCAGAAAAACAAGATAGCATTGTTGACGAGGCCACAGGCATACAGAAGAAAAATTATGGAGGTCATTGGAGCTGTTCAACACACTCAAAGCTCCTAAATCCATTCAGAAACCTTTACATGCGATTTGCATGATAAACATGTAATATTGAAATGTTTGGAAAATTTGCATGACGCATGCAGTAATGTATCGATATCAAACGATATTCGTTCCTGCAAAAAATTAAGAACCTCTTTATACTGCTCCTTATGCCGAAAAAGCCAAAGAATCTAAATTTACACGAATTTGAGAGAAAAGAACAAAAGTTAAAGAAGAAAAGAATATTTCCTCTTATAATTTGCCACATCTTATCAAACTTTTTTATATTGTTTATAATTTGGAATGCTCACATTTTAAGGAAATGTTTCCCTTAAATAGAAAATACGCGTAAATATTGCTGAGATTATCGAAGGTAACGGTGGTTGCTGATTTTTTTTTTTTTTAACGGTCCTTAATTAATAAAAATTACATTTAAGTGCAACAAATATTTATCTCTGTTTGTCTAAGATATTTTTTAAGCACCCAACTACTGTCAGCGGAGAAAACCAGAAAAGATAATCACGAGAAACTACGCGAATACCAAAGAAATGATGGTAAGAGATTGAAGAAGACTGATATAGACTGAGAACGAAAAACGTTTAAGCCGAGAGCCCGGAGCAACTATTCTCCAGCCCCTCTCGGAAATCCACGGCTCAAATTGTAGCATTTACAAAAATTCCAAAATTACAGGTAACGATATCTTGGCTCGTTTTAAGAATTTCAGTTTTTATTTCAGTTATATTTTGGTAAGGAACGCATCTGACTAGCTGAGTAGAAAGTTAAGTGTTTCAGCTGAAAAAAAGAGGAAAACCGGCAATCTAACTGTCACTTTCTTACTTACCATTGGCTGATTTTGACCTTGATCTGTGCCTGTGACCTCATTGGTGTTAACTTCATCGGCTTGTTGATTTCCTGCTCGAAATTTTCAGAAAGGAGAGTTCGTCGTTTTAGAGATAAAACCTTCGTCGAGGACGTACAATGAGAAAACCTTCCTTTTAGAATGCTTTCTTCTAAAGATTCTTGAACAAGAGATTTGTTCGTTTGCACGCCCCCTTCAGACACATGTTTAGAGTAATGTTTTAGTTCAGTTCAGAGTGTTCCGTTATCTACCTCGCTGTGCGCCTGATCGCCCATGTTGATTTAACAATAGGATATGATGTAATCATTTCGAATGTACTAGACTGTTTTGCATGTCTACATAAATCAAGCCTATATCAAGATGTTGCTTTAACCGGTAAGAAAATAGACTGAGCTACGTGTTCCAGATCTAGACTATATAGGTGACTTCATTTCTACGACATGAACCACCAGGGATTAGGAAGGCCGTGCGCCATGCGCGTATGGCGCATAAAGCTACGAAATGTCCCATTATAAAAATACTTACCGGGCCTGTGATACGCCCTGACCGCACAAAGCTAGTGAAATACAAACTATTTTGTGAAAAGGATTGTAATTTGTAAAAGTTTCACTTTGGTGAGACATAAACAAGCGAAAAACTACGGTGCCTTCGCTCGTTTGATCACGCTCGCTTTATTCTTGTTCCCAGATTCTGAACTCGGACTTTGCATGCAAACGAGGCTATTGCTCGGAGTTCCATGTGCTTTCGTTTTCGAGCAGAGTTCGAGCGTTTTCGTCGCTTTGAATGTATTTGCATCGATTAGCCTCATGCCTCCGAAAAAAATCTTGAGATTGGACAGCTCGCAGAGAACGTTGTCTACATTTTTCAACACAACAGCGGAGCAGAATCGTGATACTGTGAGCGAAAACGACCGTGAAACGGACGAAACAGATATAGGTATAGACTGTAATACACAAGCAATAAACCTTTGTTAAAATTTTTACTGGCCCATTTATTTACCCTAATGGCCCAAACGTTTTATAAATGGCCCATAACTTTCCAATGATAGGGGTCATAGGCTCATTTGCCTGTTAAACCTTCCTAATCCCTGAACCACACTTTAGGGCTGTGGAATCTAGGCTATTAAAGAAAGCAAACCGTCTAAGATCGCGTTGAATAAATTTTATGCAAGAGTTCAGGAAGAATAATAGTGATGGTAAAGCAAGCTTAAAACAGCAGAAATCGCTAGAAACTACGACGGATACACAGGGCATGAGTAAGTTTTTATTGATTTTACGTGTAAAATATTCAGATTTCGAAATATTTATCGTTGTAAATCGACCATATGTCGTTCCCCATACTATGCCTTATAACGTGTTCAAATTTTCAACGGTTCCTCCCGTAACTTAACACCGAGTCACACAACGCGTGACGCGTTCATAAATTCATCGTTGGCTTTTTCTCGAGACGTGAGCTTGGGCCGCCTGTGGTCAGACTCGGTTTAATTTATGAATGACCGTTAAGATTTCTTGGTTTTTGGCGGTTGCCTACGGGTACGTTTTTGACGGTTTGAAGGTTGATGGTACAGCTAAACGATTATTTCTTGCCCAGCCTTTTCAGCCGAACTCAAGAAGACGCCAAATATTTCACATTATTTAACCTCCAATAAGCAAATGATTACTATAGTTAACTTACAGTTCATTTAGCCGGACTTATTCGAAATATAAGTCCCATTTTGTATCATTCTCTTTAGGCAATATTGCAGGAAGAATTATTAGCATCCAATTATAAAAATAATTTGAGACAAGACTCGTCGATGGCTAAACAGAAAACAAAGAATGCAGATGGGTTTCAAAATAAGCCGACGAGCTTGGTAGGAAGGGAAAATCTGAGTGAGGATTCAAACAAAAGCACTTTCGATATCGCGTTTCATTTAGAGTCCTTGTTTCTATGTAGACGGTGTACTACTCCTATAGAAAGTGCCAGTACTCACCTTCATTGCATTTATCGTTAGGCACTTCGGTTTTGACGAAGATAACTTCGTCGTCTTGGGATTGTGTTTTCTTCGACGTTCGAGGTATAAGGATACACTTGGCACAATTGCAGTTTTTATAGTCACAAAAAGCCTTATGACCTTTTAAGGTAGAATATTTGTCGTGACATTTACATCTTCTACAGTATTTTTTCGAAGTTGGTGCCTCACTAATGTCTTGACTTGACATTTTTCTGAATTACGGGAAAACGTTCTGTAACTGAAAGCGACGTTCAACCGCCTTTGCATTAACTTTGTGGTCAGGCCCTGGGCCGATCGTGGAAAATTGCGCGATGACTTTGACCTCTTCGGAAATGCTCGGATTACATCCGATCGCTCTGAAATTTCGGCTGTAGCATGTAAACATTCTAAGCCAATTACATTAGCTCCGAACTATCAAACGTGACTTCGGGAGCCCGATCCGAAAATTATTTGCGTACGATTTCAGTCTGCGATAATGGCGTCCGATGCGAAACGCTAGAGATACAGCGTAGCTAAGGCTTTAGATGTGATTTTTGACGATGGAAGTGAGCATGGTGGTATCTCTAGTGGTGAGGAATCCGAAATAGATAGAAAACTGGAAAATCTTAGCGAAGAATCGAGGTAAGTAATCTGTAAACATTCTTGCGATATTTAAATGCGTGACGCATGTGGTGTTGAAACATATACTTTTACTTTTCGCGCACGAATCCTTGTTTTTTGCCTTGAGACAAACCTGTAAATGTATATTTGGGAATGAAAAGCAACATATATTATGAACAAACATGATTTTTGAGCGACAGAGAAAATAATCTTCAATGGAATGTTAGAACGCAATGACCTAAATTATCAGCCGATGACAAATATGACGCAGTGTCCGTCCGAATTAAATCAAATAAAATCTTTTATTTTTAAAACGATAGTTGAATATATATCGACCTGTACATTATCCTATATGTTTTGTATGTTTTTTAGATGTGGTTCTACTTGTTACATGCCGAAAATTCACAAAAGAAACAAATTATGCTCAAGAATGAGTGGAATGATATAAAATGACAGTTTCCGGTTTCACTTCTGAATTGTCTACTCTTGAAAATACTGGTGGTGCATTGCAAGTGAAAGGCTTTATATATATGTTACGCTTTATGTATTTTGAGGTTGATTATCTCATTTGTCCCTGTTTCAAGGCAAAATTTCAGAAGTCAAACAAAGAAATATAGTTCCAATGGTTGCACTGTAGACTTCAAGAGGGATTAGTAAATTTGGGCTTGGGGTGATGATAAGATAAAGTCAGACTAATTAGTCAGTATGTCAATCTTCAAACAATGAACTATAGTTCCAATTGTTGCACTGTAGACTTCAAGAGGGATTAGTAAATTTGGGCATTTCACTTCTGAATTGTTTACTCTTGAAAATACTGGTGGTGTATTGCAAGTGAAAGGCTTTTGATATACAGCTATTTCAATTTACTTTGTGTTCACTAGATATGGGCATAAGGTAAAATATGGACTGGACCATTTTTTGGACCATTTTTTGGACCATTTTTTGGACTATTTTTTGGACTATTTTTTGGACCATATTTTGGACCATTTTATCGGGGGAAGCACACCATTAGTACTCAGGGAGGGGTGGGATGCAGTCTACTAGTACTTAGGGAGGGGTGGAAGGCAGAGTGTTATTACTCAGGGAGGGGTGAGAGAAGGACTATTGCTAGGCAGGGAGAGGTGTAACCGACGGGTTCGCATGAATCATCTTTCAGTTGCCTCGCGTTTCTCTTTTTGTATGTGACAAAAAAAGCGAAGTAAAGCGCGATGTCTTCATAATGGTTTCACAACATGGGGTGTAATTAATCCAGCTGTCAATGAAACTCTCCTGACATATCCAAGCTCCAGACAATAAAATTTTCCGGGCAGAATCGGTCACATTTACTGACTTCTACGTTTTGCCGACGGAAAATATCGGCAAGCAACAGTAGCCACCGTACTTCCACTTGGCAGGTTACGTAGAAGTGATTGGCAGCGGCCCGAGCAAATTGGAAAACAAACGTAAGGGAGTCGCGAGGAATGCATGGTCGCTATTTCCGGTGTTGGTGATTAACTCCTTTGCTTGCGAAACAGATGAAATCGATATTTGCGCTTTCCCATACTACAAGTACAGCAGTGCTTTTGCTCGAATCGAGAATATGGATTCCTCTTCGAAA